ATAAATTTATAAACAAACATTTTTTTTTATTTTTTTTATTTATATTTGTTTTGTATATAAGAAAAGGTAAATTCTATATATATTATATATATATATATATATAATATATATATATATATATATACATATATATATATAATATATATATATATATATATATATATATTATATATATACGGATATTTGTTTAATATATTTGGAAATAAACCATATAAAACAAACAAACAAAAAAAATAAACAAAATAAAAAAAACAAAACAAAACAAACAATATAAAGGAGACAAACAAACAAAACAAACAAAACAAAAAACAAACAAAAGAAAAAAAAAAAAAAATAAATAAAACACAAACCCCACCTTTATATCTATTCCTCTGGCTGCTACATCCGTACAAATCAAAAAACGAGCGTCGCCAGCCTTGAAGTGCTGCATATACACCCCAATGCATATACACCCAGCTGCGTATACACCCCGCTGCGTATACACCCCAATGCACATACACCCCAATGCATATACACCCAGCTGCGTATACACCCCAATGCACATACACTCCACAGCGTATACACCCCACTGCGTATACACCCTGCTGCGTATACACCCCAATACACATACACCCCAACGTGCTGTATACACCCCAATGCACATACACCCCAATGCACATACACCCCAATACACATACACCCCAATGCCACTGCGTATACACCCCGCTGCGTATACACCCCACTGCGTATACACCCCACAGTGCATACACCCCACTGCGTATACACCCCGCTGCGTATACACCCCACAGTGCATACACCACAGTGGGATGTATACACCCCAATGCACATACACCCCGCTGCGTATACACCCCGCTGCGTATACACCCCGCTGCGTATACACCCCAATACACATACCCCCCAACGTGGTGTATACACCCCAATGCACATACACCCCATCGTGCTGTATACACCCCACTGCGTATACACCCCGCTGCGTATACACCCCAGTGCGTATACACCCCACTGCGTATACGCTCCACAGTGTATACACCCCAATGCACATACACCCCAATGCCACTGCGTATACACCCCAATATACATACACCCCAACGTGGTGTATAAACCCCACTGCGTATACACCCCAATGCACATACACCCCAATACACATACACCCCAATGCGCATACACCCCACTGCGTATATACCCCACTGTGTATACACCCCACTGCGTATACACCCCAATACACATACACAGTGTTTTGCAACAGAGATATTAAACAAAAACAAAAACAAAGAC